CCTGAAAGACAGATAGGAGGAAAACAATAAGTTTTAAAAAATCATAGGAAATAAAACCCCAACTTCTCCTCTTTTGGTATCATTTTTTTCTAAAGAAGAAAATCTCAGGAAGAAAATCAGAGAGTTCTATTGTTTCATATAATCAGGTTCAACTTAAAAATCCTGTCAAAACATTATAATTTAACATTAGCATGTAACTTGATTTATATAGCAAGTAAGACAATTGTGCTGCTCTGAAGAGCTTGCAGCCTGTCAGGAGACAAGACAAGACACTAGGGGGGATTACACCACGAATGGAGAATAAATGAGATGAGTGACAGAAAAAGGAACACAAAAATCATCTTATGAGTTTAGGTGAACGGTGCGACACACATAATGTTAGCTCCTATGCTTGCTTTCTTCTTTAAAAAAAAAGTCTTAATGTTTTTTAACTTACTAAACTCCTTTGATAAAATTTTGCAAAACATATCAATGCTTTAAGACACACTGTTGTATTTCCCCAAGTATACAATCATTTCATATCCATGAGCTATGTAGGTAGTCAGTTGAAAATCAGGTTCCTAAACACACAAGGCTGTTATTTTGCATTTTGGGACAGGATGTCCGCTTGGCTCTGTACCACAACTTACTTTCACAGAAAAGCGTTTTCAGTGGAGGATGATAGGGAAAGTTCATAGAAAGAGTGGTTTAAAAGTGAATGTACTTCATGAAAAATCCTCTTGTAAGCAAGATCTTGGAAGATTATTTTGGGCAAGGATGAAGGTGTGATTTGAAATTGAAAGAAGTTGCAGTGCATAAATTATCAGGAAAGAGGTTCTGGGTATGTTTGTGGAAGACAGACCAAAAGGATAGAGAAATAAAGAATTGGCACTGAATTGAGGGTTCAGCCTTCCCTTCTTTTTTCCCTGAGCCACTGGCGTTCTCCTTTGCTCGCAGTGTGCACCAGCACCTCTGATATGCCCCATCAACTCCTCCAGGCTGACGTGTCTCCTTCTCTTCTTTAAGTGCTGTATCACCAGTGCATACGTCCTTCTGTGCTCCTTTCATGTAGTCAGTCTGGAATAATTCTGTTCTTCAAAGTGATGTCGCTGAGTAGCTGGGAAATAACTATATATTAGAGAAGAATATGTCAGCTAATGAAATTATTTTTACCTTCTTCTTACAATGAAAATCCCAGCCTTTGGCTTGCCCCAGATTTTACCATATTGTGTGCTAAAGAAAAACAACAACAACAAAACAACAAGAAAATCTCTCTCTGACGCTTTGTTTATAAGAAAAGTCCACTCATAATGAGAAACGGTTTGGAACATGAAAGGAATGCACAAAATGTATCTTTTGGTAGCTGAGAGATGCAGGGAGGTACCCATCTGCCTGCGTGCATTAGTAGATCAATAGTGAATTTTGTGAATTGAAATGTTGTATAGTTGTTTGAGAATTTATTGGTGTTTTCAGTGATGCAAACTTGTGAATGGCTTGGGAAATATCTATTTCGAATTACTGTATATCTTGCCTCACATTCCTGAAATGTTCCCAGAGCTCAGGAAAAAAAAATGTAGCGACTTTTTATATCTAAAAATAAGATATTTACTGGAGAAGTAATGAGATAGTTAAGGCATGCATTTCCTAGACTTCAGAATTAACTAAAACTGCTCAGGCAAAACCTTCAGTCTGATAGGGGAATAAATTTAAGACAGTGGAAAGAGGTATCACATTCTAGAGTAACAGTAAAGAGTGAGCAGGTCTGAATTTATCAGAGGGGACTTGAGGCCTTTGTTAATATTTTGAGGGGTGGCAGCTGTTCCTGCAGTATGTGATGTGAGGAGGCCAAGTGCTTGGCCTCCTCATTGATACAGGGCCTGGTCCTTCCCTGCGAAGGACACTGTTTCAAGAGCTGTCTGTGGGTTTTCATCTACCCGGGACATGGCACGGCGCATGAGCATATTCCTTGCTCTTTTGTGTTCTGTATTCTGTGGGCAGTAAGCTCCTGCAGACAGAGGTGGTCTTCTGTTAGACATTTGTACCAGGCCAGACACAGTGGATGGCTAACACTGATGGTGTCTCTGCTCGTTATTGTATCCTCGTCCAACTTCTTCGCTGCTACTGTGCCTGTAGCATGAGAGAAGCACTGCGGATGTACCGTGTATGAGTAGCCCTTGCGAAAGAATTGCAGCACAGGCAGGATGTACTTTTTTTCATTAAAGGAATTGCTAAACCCCTAAGATAAGCACAAGATAGCACAGGATATTACCAAAGCATAAGGATGCAAAGATTCATAGTAGGTTACAGAAGCCTTTCAGATCTGTTGTTTTGTTTCTCAAAAATATTTTGGAGCACTGAAAAAATGTAAAACCCCTTAAAGAGTGAACTAACAAAAAAACAACGTGGTAATCAGGAGAGCCTAGCTCTGCACAGCTCTAATCTCCTTTTAGGATGAATTTGAATTTTTTCCTTAGAATAATGAAACCTTACATTAGCATGTATTGGTATAGTAGTTGCTTTCTAGCATGGCCTCCTAAAGAGTCCCAGGGCATTACCTACACCACCAAAGCCAGTGGTTGTGACCATGCACATAGCCATGGGGACTTTAATATGTTCTCTCAGAAGCATCTCCTTGATATATCTACCAAATGAACCATAAAAGATAGGAATTGCCACAACAGATGAGGGTATGAGAATCTGCCTGGCTGTTTAGGGAGGTGAGAATAGTGGGATTTATGGATTAGCATGAGGTTGTGGGAGGATGGGCTGAGGCTTATACATGTGTGGGGAGAGAAGAGGAATGTGGGACAGTGCATGGAAGTTAATCTTCTAATATGTATGTTATAATACAAATAATTTGTAACTAAACATTTAAATGGGCTGTAAAATCAACGTTCTAGTGAGAAACTTTTCCCTCGTTCTTTTCTTTGTAGTTGAGAAATTAATAATTTTATACTATTCCATAGCTGGTTCTTGAACAAAATGTCCTCTTCTAGAGAGGAGTCTTTCAGAGTGACACTGGGATTAGCCTTTGATCTCCTAGTGGTGTGGAAGCAGCTAAGCGCCATTGACCCTGAGTATTTGACCACCGTTCTCTTTCTTCTCCGTGTCTTCACATGTTTCAGGCCTATTGCTTGGGTCACAGGATAGCTCCCCAGAAAATTTCAATTCAGAGAAATGTTTTGTTCAATCCATGATATGAAATGGAAAGTTAAAGCAGTTAAAGCAAAGGAAAATGGGAAAATGGGAAACAATGGCATCCTCTGGGGGAAAAAAAAAATCCAAGCAAGTCAGCAAATCTATTGTCCCTTGACAATAAATAAATAAATAGAGAAGTTGTGGCCTGGTGCTGGTGCAAAGATATTTGTGAATGGGATGCCTGGGTAGACCTTTAGATTCCCATGGCTTGGCTGGCCAGCCTTGAAAGACTGTGGGGCTTCAGTCACCAAAGCATTACTTCAGATATTCTTAAATATAAGCAGGCACACTTACTGAAGTTAAATATGTTAAGATGCTGTGCCAGCCCAGTTTTTTTTCTGACCCTCCATTTCTAGAAGTTGCAGTATTTAATTCTTAACAGGAGATCAAAACGCTTGAATGAAAAGATCTCTGTAAAGAAGGTTGCATCATAAAAGGGAGAAATAAACATCACCAGTTTTCCTGAACATGTATACACCAACACAGCTTACTTCTAACATTTCAAAAACATGAGATAAATTTCTTGCCCTTCATTTTCTGTTTCCTGTAACTTAGGCTTGATACCATTATAAAAATTAATTCAATAATAATTAATAATGATTGTACAGAACAGCCTGCACGGCATTCTTAATTTGTCTTTTTTTTTCCCCAGTTCACTCAAAAAAGCACAGTAAAGGAGGAGAACATTAATCTACCTCTCTAATGCAGTGTACAGGAACATTTAGGTAGATTTTCCTGATACAGTGTTCTGCCTTTTCCATAGTCTCATTTCAAGTGGCTGTTTTAATGCTACAGAAATGATGCATGCCACCAGAACATAGGGACATACAGAAATGCTCTGGTGATGCTTATCTGAGTGGAAAGTGCTTAAACATTATATCATTTGGAGAAGCAATATAAAGCATGTGACATTTTTTATTATTTTTTACTAGTTTTCTTAATAGTTTTGTTGATGGGCTTGGATGAAGTTTATTTTAACAAATCAGATATGTAAGGAGTGACCAAAAGTGAGCGCTCCGTAACATTAAAACATGCCTGTCTCCATCTTGATGTTTGCCATCTCAGGTAATTTTCCTTTATAAATGCCTGCAACTTTTTCTTAAACCTTTCCTGGGTCCCTTTATCTCATTCAGCACAATGCAGTTCTTACTAAAACTGAAGTAGTTTTCCCTCAGAAGCAAAATTGAATCACAAGTCATGAAGTGGAGCTGGCGCGGGGATTTCGGAGGCTTGTATCTGATTTTACTTGACTTCACGTGCTTTTCCCTGTTGTACGATCAAACCCTGAAACTGAAGCAAGATTTATTTTTTTTTCTCACCTAAGAGAAAACGCAGTAGTCGAGGGAGTGCCATTTCTGATCTGTGCGAGGCTCAGTTTACTAACAGCGAGCAGAGTTTGGTTAACTTCATATTCTGGACAAGCTTGTAAATTTGTCCCCTTCTAATGCTGTGATCTTATCAAGGTTGTACTGTTTTCCTTTTCTTCTCCTCCACCCCCATCTCCTTTCTTCCCCCCCCACCCCCTTTTTTTTTTTTTTTGAAGTGCAGCCTTCTGATCAATGTGCACTTTTTTTTTTTTTTCCATTTCCCTAAATACATCATGAAAAAGGATGAGGTTTCCGCCTTAATTGCTTGTGCCTTTTATTCACATTCCTCTCTCAGCCAGAATTGTGAAAAGAGTGTTAGTAAAAGGCTGCACAATAGAGCTTTTCATTAGGCCTCAACAAGGCACACAAAAGAAGGCTTTTGGAAAGAGTGAATGCAGGACTTTACTTTTCATGTGGGACG